GCGTAGTATTTCACTTAATTTTTTTTAATGAAGGATTTTCATAACCTAAAACTTATTGATCAGTCACATCAGAAACATCCTTCTCCACAGTTCATGAAAACATACACCAGGCAAGTTACCTGATTGAAGATGGATATTTCATTTAAAGGATATTCTGTCCTTTACTTCATGAGCAGTGTAGGAGAAACCTTATCATTTTACTATCTGAAAGTATGGCATACAGAAAAAAAGTCTGGTTTTAGGTAAAACTGAGATGGGCCTACTTAGAGCTGAATCTGATTTCTGCTAAAGTATGTTCTCATGACTTGTGATGAGCCTGTTGTTTCATAATGAAAGCAAAAGTCCCCTTTCTGTTTCAATCCTGAATGAAGCTGCAGGCTAATTAATTTGTGGATGGATATCATAAAAAAATACCAGATTTTTTCTGTGAGCTGACTTTATTTTCTAAGTGTTAGAAAAGTAACTCACAAATTTTCTGGGGTTTTTGGAGAGGTTTATCACCTTGTTGAATGTCTCACCCAGCACCAGAGAACACAGAGGAAGTGTCAGGGATATGCACACAGAAAAGGTGGGAATACCGTAATGGGGAAGAAGTGGGAAGCTGTGCAAAGTACTTGTTCTCTGTGTTTAATTTGTTATATTTTGAGGGTTCTTGGCTCCTGCTGGTCCAGGAATCCAGAGAATCAAAGAAATGTGCATGCTGCTGGACCAGTAGGGATAGCAGCTGTTTCTTCTCTGGGCACTCCCTATTTTCTAATAACCTCTCTTGAAAGTATTTTTATCCAGTCTCCATTTAATTCTGCTTCTGCTGGGGCATTGTTACTTTTGCCTTTGATCTTCAGATTCCGACAGTTTGTTTCCTTCTGCAATTTTTTCGCTTACCAACTTGTAAACTTTTGACAGCAGGTTCTTTGCATGTGTATTGTAGGTATCTGAACTCCAGGTCAGAAGTGTTTATATACTGTTATGCTAAAATTAGCATTGCATGCAGAGACATGAAAACAAAATGCATAATCTAAGTCATACAATTCTTGGCTAAAGAAAATCAGCAGCTCTCGCTTGGGATAGTTCTATAGAAGAATGTAATACACAAAAAGGAAAAAATACCAATAAGGAAATTGGTTTTTGTAGAGTCCTCATACTATCACAGGAAGCATTATTTTCACTTTCTTAACATGGAGCTTTGTAAGTACTGGATGCACTATTTAACTGCTATGGATTTAAAGTTGCTGGTGTGAGGTGTAAGAATTGCCAGTTTAGGATGATGACGTTTTTAGAGGTTTGAAATTACTTTTTTCAATGCTTTTAGAAGATGGATTGCAAATACCAAAGAATTTCAAAGATCTCTGCAAAATATGAATATGTGTATTTAGAGTACTAGGTAGATGGTTGAGATTGTAGCCATTGCTCTGGATGAGCAAATCTACAAATGGATGAATAGTTTTCATAGTTTTAAGGTAACCTGGAGGAGCCTGATCAGTACAGTTGGCCAAGAGAAGCTGTAATAGTGTTTCTCCACTGAAGGTTGGCATCAAGAGAGAGGAAAGATAGAAAGGAGAATGATTATAAGTGAAAAAATGGGCAAAAACGATAAAAAAATAATTGTAAGAGAATGAGGAATAAGAAAAATTAAATTGAATATTTTAATATGAAAAAAAAATTCTTTTAGTTGTCAGGTGGTGGTTTCCACTTAGAAAAGAAACTGCTGCGCTTCAGAATTAGCAAGACTGAGACTCCCAGTTCCACATGGAACCGAGTCAGTTGGCACACTGAGGTGTCAGCTCCCATCAGTCTCTCCTCCCCTCCTGGTGAGTCTGCAGTGAGCTCTTTCGGTTTTGTAACCTGGCAGAAAAATATACAGGTTAAAAAAAAAAAAAAGTGTTGCCAGATGAGCAGGTTGGCATGGTTCAGTCCTGGTTCCAGTGATAGATACAGGAGAGCAGCAGTGAGGAAAGAGTAGGACTGTGACCACCACCAGCTAAATTGGCTTAAAGGACCACAGGAGTGCCAGTTGAGAGGCTTTTGCATCTTGAAAAATAATTTTTGACTCCTTTGACAGCAATGTAAAACCTCAGTCTAATCATCCTGAACTAATTTGTAGCCTGGGAAAAAGTCTTAAGGATGGCATTTTAATTTTTTACGTTCTGGAATCAACTGTTGTATTTGCTAGGTAAACTTGTCTGAACTTGTTTCCTCTGAAATTATTCTCCCTAAGTTTTCTGTCTGATTGATTCCCATTCCATCCTCTGTTTTTCAAAGTCTTAGCTTTCTGAACTCAATCATGCGCGGATGCACAGCAACTTACTTTTACACATTCTGGAAACAAAATTCCATTACTTTGTCCATTCATTTGAACCGCTTCAGAATTATATGCCTTGCTTTTCACACCTTTTGTGCCTTTGTTGTCCTTATTTCTCTTGGCTTAAGGAAAAGAACTTCATTTGTCTCTTCCCATTAATGCTGAGTCAATGAATATTCTTCAGTTACTCTGTGTCCAAAAATTTGCATCATTTTTAGGTTTAGTTAATTTTTCAGCCACATCATGTAACTGAAAGCTTAAAATACACTTTTTCTAGTTTTGGAAATTTTTTTTCCTATTAGTTTTTATACACATTAAGGGAGGTTTTTACTGCAAAGTGCTATGTGTAAGAATATAGTCCATAAAATTAGAGACTGTGTGAATTTAGGTATTATTTTGAAATATTCATGAGATTCTGAGGCTCAGGAGATTAAGAGGCACTAAGGTGATTTGTCTTGTAGTAGAAAATGTATTTTAAGCTGCTTTTGCTTATGGTTGTGCACCTTGTCTACTACAATACAAAAGTATAATTCTACAGTCTCCACATATTTCTACCATCTAAGTCTAAATTAGTTTCTCCTAAAAATTGGATTAGAACACTAAATGTTTAGAGAACCAGAGTGTGTGAACAATATTCAAACAGAAGGATGTGCAGAATTGAGTCAGAAATCTGGAAATGGGACAGTGTTACTTGTTTAATGGGACTCAAGGATCATTCAGAAAGGAGGTGGAAATCTTTCATCAGTACAATACAGAGTGAGAGTGAAGGGCAAGGCACTGACAGGGATTGTATAGGAAGAAATGAAGTTACCATGGGAACAGTTTGGTGTTTTTAGGGTGGATTAATATTTTTAATACCAACATTGCTTGTTCTCTGTAAAGGTCCCACAATATGTGTCTGGCATTTAAGCTAGTTAGTTAGAAGCTACAGGGGAGATGCTGCATAGAAATATTGCAGGACTGTCCTGTCAAGAATGGTTTCCTGAGCATGACATGACAGCATTGATCTAGGATGGCTCAGTGGCTGCAGTTTTTTTCAGCCACAGTTCAGGTACCCAGCTGCTTAAAAATGAAAAAGGGAAAACCATTAAATGAAGTTTTGGTCTAATATCTGGAGTCTGTAGCAAGCTGTTCAGGTGCAACACTATAAAACATGCAGTGATCAGCAACAAAGAGAAGCACAGAGGTCTTGAATATTTCTGTCCCAGTATAGGCTTTAACTTGCAGTGAAATTTGATCAAATTTATACTGTGAGTCTTGCTAAATGGTTACTTTAGTGTCTGTGTCTGCTGAGGAGGCAGATTTTTAAATTAGTGTGTAGAACAGCAGGGAAGAATGGTCAAATTAATTATTTAAGATAGGCCTGATACATACTCCTCTCATTCTAGGACAGAAGATTACACTTAAAGAACTTAATTGTCTTATCATAGAAGTTCAATTATTATATAGAAAAAAAATATAATAGTTTATTCTGCTAAGGTAGGACTTTATTAAAAAAAGGAGATGAAGGAGTTCTGGTCAGTAATTTATTCAGGGATTTTCCAGATAGGTTAACCAGTCCTTTATTTTGGCAAGTCTCTAGTCAGGTACCTCATGATGCCAGTACCTTCTGAACAGAAGGTGATGTTTGGTATACCACAGTCTCAATTCTATATGTGAGCTGTCATAACCTATACTTGCTTGTGAGAGAGATCTGAAACATGGCCCACATATAAAATTGGAAGAATTTGTTATTTATGCATGGCATCTGAATAGCCTTGGGCAGGGGGGGGAAATGTGTAGGTTTTACTGCAGCTTCCAGAAAAATACTTTTTATAAAAACTGTGGTTTTATTTGGTGGAAAGTGGGGGAGGGAAGGGTTGGTTTGGGGTGATTTTTTGTTGTTCTTTGGGTTTTTTTGTTTGGTTGGGTTTTTTTAATTCAACAAGTTTTAGGAAAGTTCTGCAACTATCTTATAAGCATTGATTGCTGAAATACAAATTCCTTTTGCAAATCAGTGGATAACAGAAAGGTATTTTTATTGCAATTTGGTATCTTTTTTCAGAATGTAAGGGGTATTTTTTTAAAGCACTAGGAATACTTTCAAAACAAAATAATTTTTGTTACTGCTGATGTACTGTATTTTCAGTAATAAGTATTTGTAATCCGGTCTTAAAACCTAGCAGAATAAAAATCTTACATACAAAGTGGAATATCATAAGAAACTAACGCCATATTAATACACTATGAAAAATAGGTGGTTCTTATTTGTCAAAATCTGGATGAGAAATACTGATCTTAAGGTAGGTACGTGATTAATTCCCAAAGCCCAAAAGGTGAATATCTTCAAAAATGAAGTTGGTTTCATTTTCTTTGGCATTTACTCCAGCTTCAGGTTCCATTTTTTTTCCCCCAAGAACTATCACGAATAATTAAAACAATACTTGTGTATTGTTTGAATTATTCCAGGTGATTGTACTGGAAAATTACGTGTCTACATTTTAAATAAAAGTCAAATTGTCATCACTTTTGTTATTCTGGAGTAGGTACAAGAAATATTGCATGATTTTCATGATTTACTAAGAATCCTCTAATCTTTTGTAACTGAAGTTGCTAAGATTAAAGGAATTGATTAAAAAAAATTAAAATCTGTTGTATGTATATTTTTACATAATATTTGCAGATGTCAGAAGTATTTTTGTGAATTGAGGCTATCTTAAAAGGCTTTTAAAAATGTTTTTAATGCTAAATTTGTTACATAGAAACAAAATTACACAAACAGATAGGTGGAACTTCCGTGCTCAGTTCATAAGTGACATCACGAATAAATTTTCAGGGCTGTCAGGCGTCAAAAAGCTGCCTTTTGTCAGTTTGTGATCAAACGTGTGCTTTGGTGCCTGGTGCTCTGAAGTGATGGACACCCCACAGCACACACACACCTGTGGCTGCTGTGTGCAGCTCCGGCAGCCTGCAGCAGCCGGGATGGCTCTGCCTTTCCTCCTGGAAGCAGGCAAGGTCGCTGGCCATCCACGCCCCGCGGTAGCCACAGGGTAGGGCTGTGTCTGGTCAGGTGTGCCCAGCAGTGGTGTGGCTCCCCGGGGAAGAGGTGCTCCTCAAAGGCCCTTTGTGCCGCTCCCTGCCGGCTCTCGCTGCTGTCTGTGGAAAACAAGGGTTGGCTGCTCTCTGAAAGCTGAAAAGAAGGCTCAGTAAATAGCAGAGGAAGCCTTTCCCTAGCAACACGCTGCCTCCAGCCGCCCGAGCCTTCGACGGAAGGTCGTATGATTGACATATTTGTGCTCTAAAGAGAAGTCACACAATTAGTTTTTTAACTTCTCCGTATTTTCAAGCTGTGTGAAAGTGGGTTTTAGCTGCCATACAAGAGGAGACTGGGATACCATCACCCCCTTCTTCTGGACTTCATCAGCTCTGAGAGTTCGCAAACTGGAGAGGCATCTGTGGTGTTGATGGAAGAGCTAACTTTGATTTTTAAACAGTATTTAAACATTGGTATTGGAGTACCAGTAAAATGCACATGAGACACACATGTGGTGTTAGATTCAACACAGCTATGGGCTGCTTGTAGGCATGTAAGCAGTTGGAAATAATTGTGACTTTTTAGTACTCATTCACTTTTTAGCAGCTGTTGAAAATTAGTGCAAGTATATACTCAGTGTGCATCTCCTTTTAAACTTCCAATATTCTGTTTCATTAGTTCAATTAGAAATGTAAAACTTAAATTGGTCGAATTTTTGGGCATCTTAGGTTTAAAACAATGCTGTTTCTCTAGATGGTAGCTTAATGTGAAGTTCTGAATGAAGCAGTCATTGCATGCCTCAACCTTAGAGGTTGTGTGTGTGCAGAAAACAGTCATTTTGAAAATAAAACTGTTAATGCAAGTATTTTGCAAAAGGCAGTGTAGGTGAAATGCAGAAACAAATTTTTTATATCACATTTAGCTGTCAGGATTTCTGTTGAAAATAAGAGTAGAGCAGTAAGTGTGACAGTTGAAGAAGCTATTGGAAGACCACTGCTCCCTGAATACTGACATTTTACAACTGGAGAAGCCTAACTCATGGGTTTAGTTCATATTGTAATAAAGTAGTTTATTTTAATTAGTCACTGTTACATTTTCAGGACATCTCCTGCTAAAGATAAAAATGTCTTAGAAGTTACTACTGCAGCTTGAATTCCCATGTGGTAGTGTGCAGCCCTGAATCCTGTGTTTAATGAAACACATGAGAGAAGATACCCTTGAAATTTCGACATGTGCTAATTTACAGCAACAGTCTTTGTGCTCCCTGTCACCAGCAGTTAGTTTTCTTCTGTTGCTCTAAAGAGAGAGACTCCTCACATTCTTTCTTGGTTACTAAATTTGATATGAAATGTCATTTTTCTTTTATTTTTTTTTTTTATTATTATTTCTGGGTGGGAACAAACTCAAAACATACTGGACATGTTTTCCATATGAAGACATGCAGTCATATCTCAATGCCATTTTGAAAATGAGAGGCTTTGTTTATGTAGTAAACCATTAGCATAGCTAGAAAGAAAACTATGTAGTATTGGATCTCTGGAGTTTGCAACAAAAAACTAGTTTTGAAACCCTTAAATGGCGATCTCCAGTCCCATCTTGCCCCCATGTACCCACCTACTTCAATATTTGAGTTAGGTGTCTTTGCAGTTCAGGGGAATTTACAGCTATTTCAAGTGTATAAACTCAAACTTTGAATAGAGACCTCAAAGGATGACAGAGAGAATAAATGTTACAGGTCAGGCCACGCTTAACTGAAATATTTTAATTAATCATTCCATTGATATATTTCTAACAACTGCCTCTAATTTGTACCTGTTAGAGCAACCACCTTGATCATAGGTTGTTTTGTAGCATATATTAGTTAAATTGTTTTTATAATTTACTGAAAACTCAGGATGGGTTAATAATTTGTTCTGATAAAAGTGGAATGTGTCAACACTGTCTGAGTGTTCTGGCACTGTTCAGTCTGCTCCAAAGGCTACAGCTGGAATAAAGACCTGCATAATATAGGTCGTGTTTGCATTCTGCTCTCTTCAGATTCCTAGGATGCTGATGGAGCTCAGGATGTTGCTGGTAGAGCCATATGTGGGAAATTTGTACGAGGCTTGCCTGGTACTATCTCATTCACTGTGCTTGTAGTTTAACTGCTGTTTTCAGAATTGAACTAACCAGTGAGGAGGAATTTTGAATGTCTAGCATTCCAAAACTAGAAATACCAACAGTGAAGTGTTCAGCTCTGAACATTTTTAAGCTGGGCTTGCACATTGCTAAAAATAGATCTAATGCTTTAGATTGCACAGATGCCTTTAGATTGATAGGTATTTCATTTGAATCTTAATACAAATATCAGCAGATGTCTATGCTAGCAAATAAATCTGAATGTATCTCAGTATTATTCTGCCTTTTCAAAACATTTTAGAATGTACTGTAAGCTTTTTTTTTTCCCCTTAAGAATTTTTTGGGGTTTAGTGTGTGTATATGTGTGTCATGAAAGCTGTATTCCTGTTCTGGAGCTTTATGAATTGCTGAAGCTCTCCAGTGTGGTGTATAGAGATTCTTATCACAGATTTTATTAAAAACAGTAAAACAGACGTGCAAGGAAAATAGGAATGATAATTAAAAAAAAAAAAGCAAAGCAAAAAGCAAGTTCTAAAAATAAAGTATTGTTGAGGGCCTGATTTAACCTATCCAGGTGACCTTTTCTCTTTTTTTTCCTTCAAAGTCCAAAACCCTGTGATTTAAATATGAGCCTGTCACATCTGGCCTAGAGAAATGTTGACCTGTTAAGGTCAAGCAAAATTCTCCCCACCCCAGTGTGCTACCAACTAGTACCTAGGGAGACATATGGTGAAGCAAACTTGCAAGTTCCACTGATGCTGTATTTCAGTCTGGCTTGTAAAACACACTATCTGCCAATTTTCTGTGCTTTATCTGTATTTTCTTTGTGCAGAAATGGAAAGGAAGGGAGGGAGGGCATCAGGCCTCTCCAAAAGTATTACTGGTAAGCCAAGTATCATGATTAAACAGGGATATGTCAGATAAGGTGGTGGGGAGTGTAAAAAGATGGGCTGTCTTTTCCCCCTAGTGTATCTTTAACATTATGACCAATGAATTTGTCAAGTGAAACAGCACAAGTCTTCTTTGCATATCATTTGAACTGAGAGCTTGCTTTGAAGAAGATAAGCAGACTGTGTTGCCCAGAAGAAATAATGATGCTAATTTATCTTTGCCTGTCCTCATAGCCATAGCAGTGTGTGTCAGTGTTGAAAAGGAAATAGAGAAATATCTGAGCTATAGTTTTACCACCTGTTCTGTGCCATGGGATTGTTGATGGACAGGACTCTGAGAAATACGGCTGGTCTGGAAGTCTTTGTCGTTAAAGCATTTGGGAAAGTTTCCTCTAACATAAGAATAGGTGCCAAACTGTGACAGAAAAGACCTCTTTGACCGATTCTCCTCAAAACAAACAAAGCTATGGTGTAGGATTTCTGCTCCATCACCCTCAGAAGTGTATAATCAAGGATGAGAAAGTCTGTTGCATATGTTTACTAGCAACTTCTAACTATCAATATTTACATTCTCGGCATGGGAAACTTGAAGGTCTCTGCCAGATTTTTTTGAGGGAAAGGGAGGATGAGATGTTTTCTTTAATACAGAGTAATAGAGTAATTTACCAGAACCAAAAGCCTTTACAAAAGTAAAATCTAATCTCTTGCACTAGGTAATTGATTAATAGTTGAGGTACTCCCATTCAGAGTCTTACAAAAAAAGCTCTTTCTTTGTCTTTTACATCTTTTACACCTGTAATCTTGTCTAGGATATTGTTGCTATAGATACATCACTTTCAAAAACTAAGATACGAGAAAAAAATCTTCCAAACATGGATTTTAAACGTATATACTTCAGCTTCAAAAATTCCAGTGTGTTTTGTAGTATATTTTACAATATATTGATGCCTGAGATCTGGTTTTTTGTTTAATACATGTATGTCTAGGAATTTTTAGTATAATATTTGTAAGGTTTTTTTGTTTATAAATCATGAATGGAAGGTTTTTGTCTCTGAATGGAGACATTCATGTGTAAAGACTGTTTGACGGGAGCATGGTATGTTAGGAGTACTTACTCATCTACAAGTGAATTGCAGTGGAAGATTTTTCTTTGTCAGGGAGATAAAAGCATTCTAGAGCCTGAGAGTCCAGCCTGTGTCACAGTGCAAGCCTCCAAGCTGCAGCTGTTGGGCTGTAGAGCAGCTGGGGACTGCTGGAAGGCAGGGTGACAGACCCCTGAGGAGCAGCACTGCCTCCTGGATTAGTAGGATAAGATCAATCACAGTAAAATATTTCAGTGGTGCTGTTGCTTTTTACCAAAATTCCTATTAAATTAGTAAATAGTAGAGGGCTTATACTGTGCAGATATACTGTGCAGTCTAAAGAATAATTAAAGTCTTCATATTTAATGTGTGTATTTCCAGGTGGTAGAAAAGTTATGTTTATTTTATGTGGCAATTTTAAATTACTTTTCTGTTTGAGGAAGAGTTTTAAGTATTTATTCTTGTTCATTAGTATAGGGTTCTTCCATAACTGCTAAGTCCTCTGCCCGTCTGCTTAGAGTGCATGTAAAATTATTTATTGCCTTACCTGCATCCTGAAGAATACAGTGTGTTCTTAGAAGGATTCTCTCTACTTGAAGCAAATGTGTAGAAGTGTGCATGGACTTGGACAAAATGTTTGGTAGCTGGAAGAGTTCTCTCCAAGGGTGGCAGGAAAGCTGCTGGTGAGAGCTGCTATTCAAGCAGCAGCAATGTGGAGAAGGCAGGGAGGCAGCTCTGCAGGAGAGCTTGCTGAGGTGCTTGGGAGGGAAGTGCCCTTTGCTGCTGTCATGCTGCTGAGGCCCCTGGTCATTCTTTCCATGAGCCTGCTAGGACAGGCCTGCTGCAGTTGGCAGGGGAAGATGGAGACTGGTTTTTGGCCCTTGTGTTCCTGGCTGATCTGGCTGTCGTTTTGCTTCACCACCAATTTCTCTTCCCACTTGCTGCTCCTGCTCTGAGCCTGAAAGGACTGCCCTGGACAGCTTATAAAGAACTGGTCCCCAAAGCCATACTTCACTGCATTTTGTCCAAAATCATAAAACTGTCTGCTGCCTTTCCTCGGGCTGGGCTCACTTCAGTTCATGAGAATTCAGCTGAAGTATAGGGATGTGACAGGATTGCAAAAACGTGATCCAAAATGCATGACATCTGGAAGCTAGACTGTCTGTGAAAGTCACTGACATCACTTAAATATGAGGATCTATTTGTTATGAATGTAGGGAAAACGAAGGGTATCTGTTACATTTTCCAAAGCAGTTACTTTAAAAGAAAAAGAAGCATTATATGGGGAAACCACCTATGTTTGTAGAAATGTGTTGAAAGCCTTCTCTTCCAGCCCTGGTAATAATGAAAATTAGCATTTTGAGACTTACGTGCATGAGACTGTAAGGCTCAAGAAGCTCTGTCATAATAAGATATCCCAGCTATGACACAAGTGAGTGGATTGCTTGGTTTCTGAATTACCTGAGCTGCAGTGATGCTCCTTTTGGGCCTGGCAGCAATATGGCTGGGCAGTGTGGCCACTGCCTGTCTCCATAGGTCTAGTTCATGGATCTCTGCTCTATCCTAAACACTGCTACTTCATCCTTCTTTTAAATACTGTATTTCTTTCCTTCTCTGCTGTAATTTGTTACAGGCTTCTCAGAGTTGACAGAATCTAACATGGAAACTGTTGCCATCTGCTGAAGTCCTTCATTGACATTGCGCAATGAAGGCATTTACCTTTGGAATCTGCATGCCTGTCTGTCTTCCACCTGGATAACAAATGTATCTAGTGTATGTATGTTTTGTGTATAAATAAGAAGATAAAGTGTATGATACTTCTCAGGGTACTGTATGCACATAAGAATCAGAGGCATTTCAGTACCTAAAATTAAAGGATTTTCTGGAGGTCTTGGGATATCTGAGGTTGAAGTATAGCTTGGACATTGATAATGAAAAGAATTCATTGGAGTGTTTTATCTAAGCTCCCCATTTCAGGGTATGAAACAAGCTCTTACTAATAGCAGTCATATAATAAACTTCATTTTTTTTTTTGTGGAACTGTCGGTACAAAGTAGGGAAGACGATTGCTGTTTTAATGGGCATTTGTGTGGTCAGCGCTGTCTGTTTAATTTGAAATCATGGTTTTTAGGAAGTGTTTCCCAGAGACTTCATGTAGGTGGCATTTGTTGTGTTTTGAGCCTTGTAACTCTAATCCTACACTGACAAAGATTAGAAAGCAAGTTACTTAAAATGATAGTCCTCACTGGCATTTGGTCTCCTTTAGGTCTATTTATTGCTAGCCCAGGTAGAGTTGAGCTGCTGTGAGGAGTTACAGGCTTTGTGTTCACAGAACAGCACCCAGTGATGTCTGTGCACAGTTGGCTTTGTTAGGATTTACTGCTTCCATCTCTTCCATATTTGTATTCAGTGAGCATTTGCAAGTAGTTGCTTACATTTAAAGAATTATGTTTCAAGATACCATTTAAGGCTTTTTTTTTAATCTGCATGTTATATTGTACATGATAAATACAAGGAAAGCACTGGAGATTTAAGAGGATGAGAGGTTTGAGTCAATCACTTGAGCTTCAACTTAGTAATGCAAATCTGGTTTTAAGTGACCTTATTGATGTTTGCTCAAAGTAGCTTCCTTTTGGTACAAATGACTGAGCTTTGTTGCAGCTGTTGTACAGGTAATGTACTGTCCCTTTAGAGATTGCCTTTGTGTCCCTGGTGCAACCTCTCTTTGCTTTAACAGAGAGTGCCTGCAGGAATGCCTGGAGCTAAGATAGATCTCGTGTGCCTCATTTGATCATCTGTCAGCAAGAAAGTGAGAGGATAGGGCAGGGAAAAACATGTGCCCCTTGCTCTGAAACAGCTCTTGGAAATTTGAGGGGTTGGCTCTTGGTGAAGGATGTGCAAGTGGAGGGCTTGGTACCAGAGAGTGAAGGACACGACAGTGTGTCCCAAAGGGTTCTATGACTTCACCATGAGGAGAGGTGAAGTGACTGTTCCAGGGGTGCGAGGGGTGGCAGGATTTTGGGCAGCACTGGTGGGGTGGGTGGTGCCAGCAGTGCTGGCACCCATGTCCTGCTGAGGTGGCATTGTGCAACAAACAGTGCCATCTTCTGGGAGGAGCCGGAACCATGACCTTGTGGTCAGCGTTACACGTGTTTTTCAAAGTGGTGGAAAGGGTTTTTTGTTGGGGTTGGGTTTTTTTGTTTTTTTTTTTGTGTCTAATAAATGCTTTAAAAATTAAAGCAGCAGAAGGCAGTGTTAATGTCTGGTAATGCAAGTCCACTTCTTCCATCGCTGATTTTTTTTTACTGATACAGCTGATAAATGAACATCTTATGATGTTGTATTTTGGGTTTTGTTTAAAAGAAGAAAAGTTTATCAACTGCTGAGCATAGACTAGAGAAGTAAATCTCGAGAATAAAATTAAGGACTTGGTCTGCTTTGTTTAAGTCCACTGTTACTTCCATAAACATAATTCATAAAGCCTAGTAATTGCAACATCTTTTCTAATAGAAAGCAATAGTGACCTATAGGAAAATGATAAAGTAAGAATGATTATTTGGACTTATATCTCCTTCTTCTGACCATATCAAAACGGTAAAAATATTTTCTGTCTTAAAATTATTATCCTATAAATAGTTATATTGGGAAATATTCACTGTGGTGCAAAATCTGGGATTAGGGTTACTAAAATTATCCTAGCAAGTGGAGTGTAATACTCAGCATTTACTGAAAGTCATTAATGGCGTAGATCAATCTCCTGAAAGTCCTTATTTGGAGGAAGTGTGCAATTTTAGTAGCATTAATGAAACTATATGGGAGATGCAGCTGACATTGTGAGGAGGTTACACACTTTCAAATAAATAAATACACGAATGCAAACAAAAAGCAAATAAGAAAGTACAACTTATGGGGGAGGGGAAAAGATTAATTAATGTGTTAAAAAATCTTTATTGCTAAAATAACTTTGATAAGGTATATCCAGAATGACAAGAATTTGTGAGCTCTGGATGGGGAAATATATTTGGAATTGGTTTTATTGTGTCATGATTGCCTAGGTAATTTACCAGCAAAGATGCAACGTAAAAATAGTTTATTTTAAAAAGAAGATAAAATTATTTTGCATGTAAATTATAAATCCGTTCTGTGTCATGTTAAGATTGCTAGAATCTGCACATTTTGTATTCCAAAAGGGCTATGGGACTACGGGGTCTGGCATTTCTGCATGGTACAGTACTTAACTGTACAATTAATTTCTAGTTAAGATGGTAATTGTATTTCCTTTTTTATTATTAGTGTCAGCTTGCCCTGTCATACAGTATTTAACATACAAAGAAAATGTCTAACTTTCAGTATATTCTGAATGTTTACTGTGTGATAATCTTGGTGTTCATGCAAGTCCTCAGTATTACAGTTGTGACTTTCAATTTCTGACATTTGAAAGGAATTCAGTGTTGACTCATCTTACCATGTTGATTTTGATTTGTTGATAAAAATCAGCTGCTAAAGTTCCCTTTGCAAGAGGTCATGGCCCTTGAGCATACCTCACTATAAGTACTGGATTTGCTTAGATAAATTTTGAAAACTGTTTGTATCTTGGACTTTAGTAAATTTAGGAAATCCATAGTTTGGAAGTAAAGTATATATAACAAACTCATTAACTTGGAAAATACTGTTCCAAATACCTGGAAAATATTGTGTGATTCAATAAGTAAAAATGTAAGAAACCCAGTTTAGCAAAGGAAGAATGCAGGACAAATGCAGTTCACAGGAAAGCTGCCCTTCTATGGATCTGAGTTAAGAATTTCAGCCCTGGCATTCCATACAGGAGGCAAGGTGGTAACCTAACACTGAAGTAGATGTTGACCATCCCTCTTGGGTTTCCTATATCATAATTACATTATCTGCTCGATAGAGTGTAGAGTAAACAAATGGTAGTATTTTTGGAAAGACAGATAGAAAATCTCTGGTCTTAAAGATGAAATTATACTTATGTAATATATGTTAGAAATGTTTTTATTAATAACTGAAAAAGTGAGCCTTGTTCTTCTGAGCACTACTTAGTATTTATGCAGCCTATCAATAGAGTAGGTAACTTCAGGGAAGTATTTTTAATTGAAGCAAAACCAAGAGTAATGTGTGCTGTGTAAATAGTAGTTATATCCTCATCAGAATACATCTACGTGTGCCAGAATTAGGAATTCAGCCTCAGGGCAGTTGTCAATATCCTGTCTGGAAAGCTGCTCAGAGATTGTTGTTTATGTTTTTTGTTTGCCCCACCCCCACAGTAGCCAGTATCGACTCTAATGGAGCAAATTACAATAAACTGCAGTGCTTAAAATTTGTGATGGCTCTTCATCCTCTGGCCCAGTAATACAATTTTTTTAAAGATACCTTTAGGAGTATGTGAAAATGTATTTGAGGGAAAAAAAAATCCTTAAATGATTTCTACCAAATGCAACTTATGTTTAATCCTTAATTTTTATAATTTATGTTATGAACTTTTTCCAAAACTCTTTTAAGATATTTGTCAACAAGTCTTAATGATAGTCAACTGGCAACTTCCACTTAATTTCATGGAACAGTTGACAAAGTTTGTTGCTTTTGTGACTAATGGCAAGCAGGTATTTTGCTTGGTTAAACTTGCACAATTTTATTCTAGGTCACTTAGATCTTGTGCATTAGTGAGTTCATAATCCTGACTTCCTTCCCATTTTGTCCTACACAGGCAGAAGGAGAAGACAGCCTTAAAAAGATGCAGCTGATGGAGCTTGCGATTCTGAATGGCACCTACAGAGATGCCAACATCAAATCACGTAAGCATGTCATGAGCTCAGGGGTCAATGCCCTAGAAGTGTTTGCAGGTTTTGAATATTAAAGTTACCTTTGGAAAATGTACAGTGGCAACTTATGTTGGAGAATGGAAGGCATTAAGAACCCAACAAAACTGTAGGTAGCAGTTGCAAAAGATTTGTGGGGGATAAGTTACGTCCATTGGCGGGGTTTTTTAGCTTGTTTCTTGTCCCCATTATTTTTTTAACAGTATGTATGGGTTGAAATATTTACAAATATATATGGTATAAAAAACCTCAGCCCTTAAGCGGATTTTTCTATTTTACAGTCATTTTTTTTCCTTAAAGCATATAAAGGACAGTGGACTCATTTGCATTTTTATTTTTAGAGATGTAATTTTAAAATGTTACAGATGTTCAGGATGCTGTGAATACATTTTTCTGTATTATATTCCTTCCTTTCATCTTGCTTGCATGTGTACCCCCAATGTTATGTTTTACCAACAATTCATCAACTGATTTCACAGCTGAGTTCACACGGATCAGTGATGTAATGAGCCGTTTTTACGATTACTTCCATTACATTTGTGTGAAAATGCTTTTGCAAACGCATGTATGCACAAGTTTACACTTGAAAATTAATTACACGCACCTACTAATGAAAGCACATACCTATTATGTGTGATACAAATTATTTTCTTCAGTTGAAAATCTAATTTCTCTTCCTGAAAATATAGTTGCTGACGCTGTTCAAAAGTACATTTTTGCTGTAGCTGTGATACAGATGTCAAATGCAAGCACAGTTAAATCAGTCTTTTCACTAAGGACCTACTGATATTTGCAAATTTGTTTCTCCACACAGTCCCCATTTCAGTGTTGATTATGTTTAAAGGTTGGAATGCAGTTAGGTCAGTTTGAGAGTGCTTACACCAGTGTAATTATTCTGATTTGAAAAGGGACATAAGCAAGGGCTTTTACAACTACAATGGTAATGGTAAATCTTTCAGCCCTAATGAACACTGATATATTTAAAGCTAGATCCGTTTTAAATATATGGTAGTCTCTAAATTATTGCAAATTTATGATTAAAATAGCTTTCAGAATAGCTTAAATTGATAGAAAATTTACACAGACATTTTTTTAATTAATTTGAGCAATTTCTTTGTCTGGTCTGTTCCCATTGGTCTGTTGCATCAGTGTAAGTGGGAAGATGGATTTTTTTCATTTATTTTTCAACTGGAGATTGCCATTACTCATCATTTGATAAGAGTTTCAGTCTTTGTGTTTGCATTTTACTGAAGAGTTGAAGATGTAGAAGCTGTACTGGTTTATTTCTGTTTTAGAAAGGAAGTATAAATATTTGAGCACCAGTTTTAAATTATCTGAGCATTTTTGTTTAAAAAATAAAAATAATTCTAAATATGCACCAAATCTGAAAAACTTTACCACATTTCTCTTTTCAGGCCACCTGTAAGTAAATTAAATCAATGTAGATCAACAGTAGTGCATAGAAATACATAAATTATAACCCTTTAAGATTGACTGTTACCAGCAGATGTGCTAGGTTTCAAATAACACTTAATTGAATGTGCTAGCACCACTTCAGAAAACAAACAAAACCACCACAACAAGGAAAAAAAAACAAACCAAAACAGAAAAACCACCTATTTTCTTTAACTTAAGCTGGGCAGTGGTGAACTTCTCATACAAAGGAAGTATGTTACTTGGTGAAATTTTATATGGAAATAAAATTTGAACCTATTCTATTCATGTTAGGGTAGGATAGGACCAATTCATGTTTCTAGGTCACCTTCAGCTTGGCTGATCCCGGAAATAGGAATTATGTATATGTTTAAATGCAATTTTAAGAAATACAAAAACTCTAGACTCATACAGCAGCTCTGCATAACTGAGTGTTTGTGGACTCTATAGATGCACTAAATTTTGTACTCTGTATTTGATTTTGATAGTATTTTCCTTGTATTTCCTGCATGCATCTCAGTCTCATGCAGTCTTGATAGCATAAATGAAGAAATGTGGTCTAAATTGAGCTTCCGTGCTGTGTAACCTGTTTGAGAAATCTACCTCACTGTTTTACAATGGCTTTTTTTATTTTGCATGTTCATACTTAATCACACTGGAAAATGGAAAGCTGTTTGCATTTGAATGGTGTGCTTTGGCACTGTGTGATCAGCGCATGTACTAATGATTTCCTTTTATTTTTCTTCTTTCCTACTTTTTCCCTTTTTTCCCATTCTTTCCACGTTTTGTACTGCTATCTCCATACTTTCCTCTGAATTTCTTTGCTTACTGTAGCAGCCCTTGCCTTTTCTCTTGCAGCAACAGCCCAGGCTCCAAGGATTATTACTGGGCCTGCGCCTGTTCTCCCACCAGCTGCCCTGCGTACTCCTACGCCAGCTGGCCCTACCATAATGCCTTTGATCAGACAAATACAAACCGCTGTCATGCCAAACGGAACTCCTCATCCCACCGCTGCAATAGTCCCACCCGGACCCGAGGCCGGTTTAATTTACACACCATACGAGTACCCCTACACGCTGGCACCAGCTACATCAATCCTTGAGTACCCTATTGAGCCTAGTGGTGTATTAGGTAAGACCTTTGTGCGTGGATGACTGGAGATTGTGTTGTGCTTCTGTTGTGTTTGTTTGTGGGGTTGAGGTTCATGGAGCTCAAACAAAAAAAGCTGAAGCAACAAACTTATTTCGGGTATATCAAAACCACCCAGGAGAGCTGCTCAAATGGTGAAGCTCTTAAACATTTGGAATGTGTTCGGCATTCCTGAATGTGTGTGCTTAGTTTATATTAATAAATTTACCAAAAAGAAAGTCTTCATGTTTGTATGATATTAGATGGTAGATACATAGGCAAGGGGGAAAAAAGCTCAATACAAGTTGAGGTCTGCTACATATTGTCTGGGCTCCTGTGAAAAACAGATCAGTTTGTGTAAACATAAATTAACATCCAGCAATTTTTGCAAGAGCGGGCTTCTTATTTTGCTATATCATATTAGTATGATTAGCAAAACTGGAAGGAGTGGAAAAGTCTTTGTTCAGTTGGAGTTTTTGTTTATTTAGTGCACAACTGATAAATCTCTCAGTGTCAGAAAGCACTAAATTATATTGTGAGCAGAAAATAATTTCAGTGAATGAATATAAAGCAAACCAAGTTCTCACCAAAGAACAATAAAATTAGCAACTTTACTAATGGCTTCTTTTATATATGTTGCACTGAAATGTCCATTGTTCCTAATATCTCAGACCACTGACTTGGTGTGTGAAGGCAAGAATGATAAAGGAGCCGTGACAATTCACTTAACTGGCCAATATGGAACAAGCAGTTCCAATAGTTTCTTCCTTCCCTACCCTCTCCAGAATCTAAATAATCTTTTCTCTTCAGTTTGTTCTGAATTGCATATGACCTTGGTGCTGCATAATGTTGATTTTATAGGACTTTGATCTTAGTTTGTTCAGTGGCAGTTATTGATTTACACGAATTCTAAACATCTCTAATGAACACTGGACAATAAGGTTCAAAGTCAATATTTTGTTGAAAGTATTGCAAAAAAATCAGTGTTTCACGTGACAAGTACTTCGTGAGTTACCTCTATGTGTGCATGTTTCCACATTATGTACAGTAAAAAAGAAAATGTATTTCAGACTTCTGTCTTGCAGGATTAGTGAATCAATAACAAAAATTCTAGTAGGACAAAAGTATGCAGTACGTTTGTCAGCTTATGGTTGTTGTCAGTTAACCCACTGCCAAAATTCTGCAAGCATATGATAGCATTATCATTTATTAATTTCCCACAAACATGGAAATATTCCTCCTAGCTCCTCTACCCTCAGTCTGTGAGTCCAGTTGTGGTACATCCTGGGGTAAAGTCACAGTTAGAGAGTTCAGCAAAGTAGCTGTTAGTGGTTAGTGGCAAGCCCCTCTCCTGAATTCAGTTAATAGCAAGTAAAGAAATACAGCATTCCAGAGTAAAGTTTATTACAATGCAGGGAACTTGGATTTCTCGCAGGATTTTCTATAAAGAGATATGCGGGAAAAATGAAAATTACTTCTAAAATGGCATCTGAAACCGTTGTATACTCTTGGGCCTTGACTGTGTGAGGTGTATTGCCCAAAACAGACCTCGTCAAAAAAATGTTATTTAAAGAAGGAAAAAAACCCCACACTCCCACATTAGCTGCCTAGAATTGATAATTCTTAATACATCTGCTCTGTTATCTGAGCAGTTGGATGGAGTTAATTGCATTAAATTTGGATTTCATTGAGTTTTGTTATATACTCATTCTCATTTAATAGTATTTTGTCCATTTGTGTGGTGGACCTTTAAGATGTTTTAAAATAATTCTGTTAAAAATGGCAGAGAAATGCATCCCTGTCAGTATTTTTGGGGATGTTGGTGTTGAGATCAAATTTTAGTTGGTGACTAACTTTCAATTCCCTTCCTTTTATCTTCAGGTATGGCTTTCCCAACGAAAGGCTAAGAATTCAAGAACGGTCTTAACTGATCCTTCATCAGATCTGAATTTTAACAAATGCTTAGTTTTCAGCAGCCTTGAAAAAAGCTTGGCCTAGCAGTCAGTGACTTACTTGCACTTTTTTGCACATAGATTTAAAATAAAATAGTGCTATTAATTTGGATTAGGTCCTATTATTACAGAGTAGCTGTAATTTATGAGTGTATAGTAGTATACTGACTGCTAAGTGTTCTATATAGTGTTTGCTTTACTAATCACCTAATTCATTGCAGTTCATACTTATTGACTTAAAGTTTAAAATCACAATCTGTAGGCTTGAAGAATTGCTTTAAAACTTATTTTTTGTGGTAGAACTGGAAGTGATCTTAAGGTTAGCAAATAATTGTCAGTATTAAAGATGGCATTATTTAAAATAGTCCTGCTGCAAGAAAGGCACTTCAGTGAATATGTGACTAGTAAAGCTTAAATGTGCTTGGGTCTAATAGATTTCATGAAATACTGTAATTTTGGGATTGTAAATGAATGGATTAAACAGGTTAAGGCCAGGATGTTTAAAATAAATGCAATATTAATCTGCACAGATAAACTTCTTTTTAAGATTAAGATTTGAAACTACTGTGCCTTAACTTGTTGCTTTTCTTAAAATGAACTTTTGTAGTTAATGATCATTTAAATCCATTTTGATAAACCTGCTGTTAATGTTTTCTGTGAATGTTTTCTAACTTTGTCTTGGTAATTGCAATTTAACTAGGTGCGGTGGCTACTAAAGTTCGAAGGCACGATATGCGTGTCCATCCTTACCAAAGGATTGTGACCGCAGACCGAGGTTAGTTTAGTTCTGCAGTTCTTGTTTGTAAGAAGTGCTTTGAGTGTACATGAGATTTGCAACACCACAGCTGGTTAACCAAATACCCAGTCTTGACCCATTCATGATTTTTCTCAAAATCCTGGACAGTTAATGTTTTAAAGCTTTGGGAATGCTTGCAGTGTTAAAAAATATTTCTAAACTTGGCTTTCCCAGCTCAATTAAATATATATACTTTGATATATTTAACAGAAACTCTACAACTGATTGAGTTTTAAAAATGAAACATCTATCTGCATCAGGAAACGCTATGAAATCAGTGCTGCAATAATTAATTTGGTCGTGTTCCCCTCCTTCCCCCCCTGCCCCCGATTCATTCTTTTAATTGGCGTGGAAATATCAGATTGGTGTTGCAAAATAAAATGAATGGATGGTTGCTTAATGAGAAAGAAGTAAAGGAATAAATGCCTCCTGTCTGTGTTTGGAGAAATCTGAAGATTTAGATTCCTTTTTTTCCAATAAACTTTTGAGCCACTGTACTGTATATTATGAGGAGGATGCATGTTCTCAGATACCTAACTGAATTCAGAAAGGTAAGGGCTGTGAAGATAACTTCAAAAGTTGTTTGAGTTTGAATTAGTATGGGTAGGGGAAGGGAGGGTGTTTTGGTTGTTTTGGTTTTTGTTTGGTTTTGGGGTTTTTTTCCAAAATCTATTTCTTGGTGTTTGCCTTTTGCTGCTAAAATGTGTAACCTGAAGGAGAAACAACTTTTGAAGACCTGTTGGTGAGATGACATCCAATATTTGGGCATCTCTCTTTAACCCTTGAATGGAAAGTAAATCTTCATTTTTCTCCTGTTCCTCAAGTGTCATGCCTTTGGACCCCTGAATGAAGTGTTTAAGCTTATTGAGAAAACTGATATTTTCGGTTTATTGACATTGGCTAGGAAGCAGTGTGGGGGATGAATTCTTATCCCGTCCCTGCTGCTGACTCACTGTGGTTTTCAGCAAGTCATTTAATCTCTCTGTGTATGGTTTCCCATTGGTCAAATAAGGATAATAATACTTCCCTACCTCACAGGGGTGTTGTGGGGGTTCTTGTTTTGTACAGGGCTTTGAGGATGCAAAGCATTATGTGCCAAGTATTATTATTCTGCTCTCATCCAAATCAGTGTTGTGCAGATTTCCATTATATTGTAATATTCAAAAGCCAAATTCCAGTGACAGATCTGACATCTCCTAACATTGACCACACTTCTCACAACCTTCCATAAATTAACTACAAGAGAGAATACAGATTCTGGTCAATACAGTAAATGGGGCCCTCCTGGATATTTGGTATATTTATGTAACATTTTTATCTTTGATATGATCTTAAGGCTTTACAGAAAGCGTAAAGCTGATACAGGACACTTTAGTTTTCTGTAAGATTGTTTTATATCACTGCCCACTATTTGCAGCCCATTGGCTTGTTCTCATTTCTTGAGAACTCTTCAATGGGGCAGCAATCAGTTAAATGTCACAGCCCATGTGTCCAAAAAAAAAAAAAAAAGAGAGAGAGTAAAAAAGAAAATAGGTTTTTATATTTCTTTTGTTGGTTTTTTTGTTTTTTTTTTTTTTTCTATCTCAGTCAAGAGAAATTGGTGATAATGATTTGGTTGTCTTTGAAAATTTGACCTGATGTTGCAAAAAACAGTTTAAAAGGTTTTGGTGACGACTTTGTTCAGCATTAATTTTTTTTTAAATTTACTAAAATTATATTGTAGAATTAAAATACTGTCAGTATTTGCCGTATTCACCTATTTGGCTGTTCTGTCACCAGGATATTTCTATAGCTATGGCCACAAAAAGCAATGTCAGCAAACCGAAATAACTTCTTTTTCCAATGTGGAAATATTTTTTTATGTATTTAAATGTCACTAAATCTGTCTACATTCATTGGGTCTAAAGTTGGTGGTTTTTTGGTTTTTTTAAAATTCTAAATTGACTCTCAGATGATTCTGTAGTACTACTGCATTCACTTTTTAAGTAGTTTTTATTCTTTGCATAATTTTGGTTTTTTGTTGGGGTTTGGGTTGTTTTTCCAGAGATAAGCACTGCATTTAAAGCAAGAATCCCCAAATGTGTAAATGTTTTACAACTAAGCATGTAGAATTGGTGAAGGGTTGGAAAATATAGCTCATTTTAACTCAGAATAAAACCCCAGTTTATAAATAATACAAAATTGAATTTGATTCATATAACAGAGAGACTGACTGATTTAATTGTAATAAACTGTAAATGGTGTTGCACAGTTGACAAACCTGTGTGTACTGTAGAAGGCCAGAGACTTGGCAGAGGATGTATCACAGGTGTCCTGGTATTTTATAAAGGTAGCTTGCTTTGATTTTAAACTCCACAAGAAATATTAATGCTGAGAATTTTCTCAAATGTTTTATCCAAACCAATTTTCACATAATTTATATATAAATTTTAATACCTTTTAATCAAAATTGTAATGAGTATCAAAATGCTTTAAGAGTCTGTTTCTAGTGTACCTGTAAAGTGGTAAGATTGTGCCACATAAAATATTTATTTTTTATTTTTTCTTCTTTTTGAAACAGCTGTTATAATTTAAGCAAATCCCACTTAGCATGATTTTGAAAAAAAATTCAGGGAGCGTTTGGTCTCATTTATGTTACAGTAGTAATTTTTTGTAGTGTTATGAACTGTATCCTAAATGATAGGCCACTTCTATTATGTGAAAGTAAATGAACCCACAAGAAAGATTGTTAAATCTATGGTATCTGTGAATATTACACCTACTGGACTTCATTTTATGTAATGGCACAAATCTGACTTTGCACTGAATACCTTTCTCACTTTCATCTCCTCTGCCTTAGTCAAAATGGCAACAGTACAGAAACTTTTATCAACCTCAGAATTTCTTAGCTCTAATTAAGCTGTTGAATGAGTCTTAAAAGAAAAATTTAAAAATTATACTACTGTTAAGTGGACCAAGTTTGGTGAAGGAGAATGCGAGAGAATGATTAAAGAAGGAATAGCTCAAGAACATTGGGAATGATAACTTTCCACTTGAGAACTTTTTTATGTTTTACTGTAATTTGTTTGTGGTTTTGGGTTTTATTTTTTTTTTGTTTGTTTTGTTGTTTTTTTTCTTTTTTCCTTTTTTTTTGCAAAAGAAAATAGTATTTACAGGTGGCTTCTTTTAAAATATAAAAATATAAAGCAGGAATGTATATGAAATGTCAGATTTTATTGTATTTGCAGAGTATTAGCTTTGAAAATGAATAAAGAGAGCTGTTTGTAGTTTTAAAATGTCTTATTAGTATCAATTAGATATTTTCTCTATTTTTTCATGTACTTAGAGCTTTTTAAGTATAGACTTTAAAATGGCAGGACTTCTACAGTGTTTACATGCAAGTGCATTTTATAAGTGTCCTATATGTGTAAAATAGTATTTCGAACGGGAAAATGCTAGCTATAGTAGCAGGCTGAGCGTTTTCCTGGTTTCCACGATGATGCCTACGTTGCTAGACTACAGTTTATAGTACTGCTTTGTATCATGAGGCCAAGAAATTCCATGTTGTTTGTAAATAGAATAAATGAAAGGCAATAAAAAATTTATTGAACAAAAACCCTTTGTTTGGCCCATAGTTTGTTGAACCAAATTGTTTCTCTAAGTCCAGAATTCCTTAGATTACTCCATTCTTTTAACAACCAGTTATTAATAATCACATCCATCATTAATAGTTGCTTTGATGCTTGCACCTGGGGAGGTACTAATGCTTAATAGCAGTCAGATACTGATGCTGTGCACTGACTGTTGTTCCAGAAATCTTCTACCCAGTTCAGAAACTGTTCATCGTTTTTTGTTTTCCAATTTCCTTCATCGACTGCTACTAACCATTAGTCGTTAGTCATATTTTATCTCTATTTCTCCTGTTAACCGGTTTTGTGGGAGTGGGCTTCTCCTTCACGTGTCCAAATCATGATGGAGGGCTGTCATGATTTTATTGCATTCTGTAGATGGTGTCGATCAGTATGTCAGAATTAAACATGCTTGTTTTTTTTATTAGTTGTGATTAGTTTTCATGTTGTCATTAAGCCGTCACTAGCTGGAACTAATCTCTTCTCTATCTTTTCTTTCTTTTTTTTTTTTTTTTTTTTTTTTTTTTTTTTTTTTTTTTTTTTTTTTTTTTATTTTTGTTTCTAACCACCCAGCCGCCACCGGCAACTAACCTATGACCTTCTGACCTCTGAACTCTTCACCCAATGATGACCTGACCATGCCTGCCTGCTGATCAGTTAACTGGTAAACGCCTTTGCTTGCCTGTCTTCAGTGCAGCGAGCTGGGGCACTTGTCCGTTCGTCTTACCATCTAACAAAACAGACAAAGAAATTGTTGTCCTCCAACTCCGCTTTTTGTTGTTCTCCTGTTTGGGTGAAAGTGGTTCTAGAACCTGCACTGAATAGTAGTAAAGCAATAAGGTCCAACTCATCCCTCCGCACTGATCATCCTCTATTGTCCCGCCCCAAGCGAACGGTAAGGAGGCCTCGCACGAGATGGAGACAGATGTCCCTTAACTACCCGATGACAGAGGCAGTTACTGTGAGAGACTTCTAGGAATATTTTTCTTCTCAGAAAAAAAAAAAAAAAAGAAAAAAAAAAGTCAAAGCTCTCTCTGAATGTACTGTGTGATGATGCATCATGCATGAACCTTTGGTCAGGGATGTCATTGGGGAAGGGATTCCAAAAAGTATTCAAAATTTGATATGCTGTTTAGTCACTACCAGTGCCCTCAAAGGGCAGATGTTGCAGCCTTTTTTCTATTGCCTGCCAAATTGGACGTTTTAAAGGAAAGTGTGCCATGAAATGCAGATTATGATGACTTTTCAGAACTACATTAATGCAGAGAACAAAACAGCAACACTATTAAAGCGAAATACAAGTTTAAATTGTTTTAACCATATTTTAATCTCCTTGGAAGATTACATGAGAACAAGGTACATGCATTATGTGTCACATTACTGGGCAAACTGTTCAAATATTTTTTTTAAACCTCCCTGTATAGAAAAAATTTCATTAAGGATGTAAAAGCCATGCTTGCCTATTTGCTGTATACATGTAATGAAATGTAGATAAAGTGTAGTGCATTGAAACAAAATGAACAAAAAAGTAGATACTTTTACTATACAAGGGTGCTGGTGCAGAAAAAAAATATATTTTTGGAAATGTAGCATTTTATACTTTCAAGTGTTATAAAAAAAGAAAAAAAGAACAAAGAAACCCTTTATTTCATTAAATGATTTTTTCTGGTGGTTGTCAAGAAACAAAAGACCAAAAGAGCCTTTTAGTCTTTCTTTTTTATTTTTTAAGTATTGGAATAAGTCTAAAGAAAAGGAAGTGCCTTATTTTCTTCATGGTCATTTAGTCAAATGTCTTGTATAATCAGCTTCTCCCTCAGACAAGTTACTGCATGCCACTCAGTCGCCCAGTATGTGAAAGAAGCTGTGAGGGAAGACAAATGATGAGTTGACCATATTAATTACCTGATTTTTGCCATACAAGTGTGATGTGACTTTGCCAAAATCTCATTAAGTATTTGCTAAGTTTTCATCAAACCAGCCCATTATTATTTCAGCCACTCTACTTTTTAAATCATAGCAAATGCCGTACTTGTGCAACGTAAACCAAAGGGTTCTGTGATACAGATTGTCTCATGCTAAAGGAGATTATTAGCTGACAAATGTTTGTAGAGCTGGAAGTTACGTCATTTTTGTTCAGGGATGGAGAGGAGTTTTCTTGATTCTGGTTGAAATAAATATTACATCAACTGTAGTAGGCTTCGGCATCACCCAGAAAATGGATGTTCTGCAGATAACGAAACTGAAAGTGCTTAGTGAGTTTTCAGTCAGTGACTGAGCACATCCCAGTTTCCACAAACAGCTCCTGCAGTGGCAATCAGCATGGAAATTACTTACTTTTCAGCTCGTCTTTGACTATTGTTAGATCTGGCCCATTGGCTTTTGTTGAAAAGATAAGCAGGAGAGGGACTTCAGCCATTTGAAGTCCAGCTATACCTTACTTTTAACCCTTGTTTCGACATGAGGTTTGAATAGCTGGGCAATTGCAAGAGCTGAAGCTGTTGAACGCACAGTATTTAATTCTCAAAAACATTTAAGTGTTACATTGTGGGGCTCAGTACTAAACTTGGCAAATATCAGGTGATAATTTTACTCCCCTCTTGTCAACTTATTCTCCTCCTGCAAATCTTCACAGCTTCCAAATGAAAGGTCAATAGTAAGCTAAGAGGGCTTACATTTTTAAGCACCTGCATGGTGACCTCATCTAACATCTTGTCTCACCTGGAAATAATTATCAGTTTATTTACTATGCAATAGACATTCATCCTTTCGTATTCAGCTAGATTTTTGTTTATTTGCCACCAGCTTTGTCTTCCTGTTACACATGAAGTTGTGTTGATTTTATTTACAATATATGCTGTGCCATTTTGATTTTATTTTGGTTGGTTGGTTGAATAAACTTGCGACACTCGAACATTTGAAGAGAGATTTGCTAAAACAATACCAGTATTTGATCCAGTTTCATCTCAACTATGATAAAACCTGGACATTTTAAACATTTATCAAAGGTCTTTTACTGGGGGGGAGGGGAAGTGTATGGAATAGATGTGTGACATGTGAAAGTAATGTTTGCTCTGAACAAACTTCTGAAAACTTAGTTGACAAAATTTTGGATCAGCTTAAAAAAAAGCATGACTTTTGAAATCTCTGAATGCCTTGGTTCTCAGTATTATCATTCTTTAATGACTTTTTCTTTATTAAAATAAGTAGTTTTAAGACTTCTTTCTGACAGTATTATGTAATTTTTTTAGAGTGGGTAGATGGGAGTGTCGCTTGTATGTAACCGTACAGATGACATGTATTTGTCTATTCTTTATTATCTTAGTAGTTTCATGCTATGTATGTACCATAACCAACCTATTGCCTATGAGAAACATGTAAGATAATGTATTTACAGCCATTGTTACAAGTTTATAATGTATTTTTCTATCTTGTTTTATATGTATGTTATATAACATTCAAAAGAATTTTTTTCCTGATTGAGAAAAAAGGATACAAAATGCAAAACCCACAATTTTGATAACTGAAAAATTGCCAATTGTTTTGCAGTACTTTATTATATTGGGAGTGTTGTCTTTCTTGGGCTTTTAGTTAGCTACTGGATGAATACATTAGACATATTTGGGTTTTAGTTGGGTTTTTACATAGCTTGCATTTTAATTCTTTGGTTCTTTGCTGTTTCTATTAACCCATAGCATTATTTTAATAAATGTTATAATACCAACCTACTAACTCTGGATTATGTCTGTTTATTAACCATTACATGTTTAATTAAAATAAACAAATAAAGACGGAAGAATGTAAAGTTGAGTTACTGGACTAACCCTGAAGAACGTGACCACAGATAACACAATGTGACTTGTTTTTATGTTGTTTGTCAGCTGACATTCTGCACACTACTGTTAAGTTGGCTTTGGTCATTCTGGCCTTTACCTTGGGGAATAGGTGCCAGTAGAAATGGGAACAAAGTAGCATTTTTGAGGCATTCTTCTTGTAGAGTCTTGCCACTTGCCTTTCAGCATCTGCATTACTAATTCCACACTTTTCTTTTTCTTTCTCTAAAATAATTCTTGTTGGCTCACAGCAAAAGAGCAAAAGATGCCAGTGTATTGGTAAATCGTGACGGTGTACAGAAACCAGTTTGATTCTTTGTTGAACCATTCAGAGGTTGCAGTTAATCGCACAGTAATTTGTGATTTGTTGGTTTTGGCACCTGATTCACTGTTGCATCATGTGACGTTTCTAAGCACAGAATATTTCTGGATAGAATTGCTGTACATTGATACACAAAACCTGGGGCTTTCCTTTGGCAAAAGTGCCTTATTTATACCACACTGTTTCAAATAACTTTATTTTTGGTACTTCTGCTGTAGCCTATCAGTATTGCCTAGCTCAGGGAAGTACGACTTCTGTAAGCCAAAGGTCAAACTGAATCTTTTCCTAGTGACTGCAGAAAGTACAAAAATACACCTTTCACTAAATTGCCAAGCAACATCCATTTCAAATTCCAGAGCTGCCTTTATGTGATCTTTATCCCTGTGGATGACTGGAGCAACATGAATGCAGGGAATTGAAATGGTGGAAATGCTGTTTTGAATGTACATCTATGCAAATATTTTTACAGATATGCTTCCCCTTTCTTAGAACTACACTGTGAGGCTCCTTTACATTTCCCAGGTAGTTCTGCATTTGTAACCAAGTGGGCAGTAATTACCACTGATGCTGAGGGAGATCCTCAATGTAGATAACTTTTCAGATGTCAACAGTTTTCTTCCTGAAAGTCCATTTTTTTCCTGTAGATAGTAAAAATTCAGATGAGGAAACTGAATCTGTTCAAATTCCTCCTTTAATTTATGACATTTCAAACTATTTATCTTGAAATACATGCAATATAAACCTTTATAAACAGAGTTCTCACAGTATTGCTAGTAATTAAAATTTTATGCATCTTTATTTTATGGAGAAAAATAGTCTAGCTTTGATGACATTTGTTAGTTTTCTAATGGCACGTAGTTCTTTGTTTTAGAAAAATTTTAGGTAGAGATGAAGTACTAATTCATTCTGAATAGTTTCACTTGTGCAGAATTTTCTTTTTTAATTAAACAGATCATGTTGCTGTCCTAAAACTCAGCCACAGGCAGATGGTAAAAATATTAGATATTTATAACAGATAGTATCAGTACCTTTTGACTGGATAATGGAACAAGTGTCATTACAGAGCAAACAATTTATACTCTTAAAGAATTTTATCAGAGGTGCATATGTAGTTTGATGAAGTACTCTGTCCAGTATAGGTGAAACTATTCAGATGGAACAAAACTTTAATGTTTTCTATTGAAGAATACTTCTATTTCCAGAACTACTGCTTTTCTGTAATATTTTTATTATTTTGAGTTTTTATCAATAGATGTTAACTACTGTTATACTTTGTCCACAGTGCATTTTCATCTCATTCTTCAGTATATGCAGTAGTCGAAGTTGCTGTAAATTTTGTAGTATTTTAAAGCTAAAGGACAGAAAACTAAAATCAAAATAATATATTCATTATTGTTGCCCACCAAAGGTATTTCTCAATTTACCTGAGTGCCTGTCTGAAAATTAACTATTTTAATACTTTGCCTGCTTACAGGAAAGGTACGAACTGTTTTTATCACTGAATTTGAGGATGACTTCAATATTGCTAAATCAATGAAGTTAGCTTCTTTTTCTTATCATTCTGAGATTAAATTGTCTTAATGTTTCAAACATCATACATTCAAGACAATTAATTAATTGTTCTTTGATCCAATAAAGTGGGTTTTATCTTAGGGTAATTTTTTTTTTTTTTTTTTTTTTTGTAGGTGAGAATATAAACAAAAATATAATCTAGACTTTCAAAGTAGAATCTGAGCAATGCTGTTCACATCTTAAGTGTTGTACCAAATTACAAATTTGGTTTCTTCAAGAGTATTTTTGTGCCTGTTATACAGTGCCTTTCAAGAACATCCTTAAGATATTTTTAACGAGCATATGGTCAGTATACTGACAATACTGATCTTTTATTTGAACATACCTTTTAAAACTGTTACTACATGTAGCAAAAGGTTTATTGGCAGGTTGTGCTCCATGAGGGGGACCACTAAAAGGTTTTCTGCCCTGAAAATGCAGGGAAACATTGAAGTGTGTTACCATCCATTAAGAAATTAACTTGGGGGAAACATACTTATGAGTATACGAAACTTGAGTTCCTTGTGTCTGGATAAAAATACCAGTTATCAGAAATAGCACATTATGCAGAATGGAATCTGAGTAACACATTCCTAGGGCTGGAAGTACATGACTGTCCCGGGAATTTCTGTTTTGTTTTAATATGTTTGATACATTTTTCTAAAACACCATTAATGGAATACTGTCCAAATAACACGTGACCCATAACATTAACACATGGTAATCAATGTTGAATCAAACTGGTTAACGAAAGTACTCTTCCTTCTCTGTGCCTGCGCACTAATTGCAGGTGGTGCATAGGGGCTGGGGCTTAGGCACAGCAGGCTGCAGTCCTAATTTCTTGGTGCCTGCAGTTCGGGTGTCCGTCTTTGACAACAGACTAACTGGGAGGAGTCTGCCTCCCAAGGCAAAGATTAACTGAGATCTGAAACTCTTAGTAGAATTAATTGAAAATACAGCAACAATAAAGCTACATATATAAGTATATATGCTTTGACTTGTATTATAGCAGTTTGTATGAAACATTTAAGGTTTTGTTTGTGCAAAATAATGTATTCTGAGGGGAAAAGCAAACATGGACATTGCCAAAACACATGTAAATAAACACCATTTATGACTGTACATTATGTGCAATAAAGTAACTGGAAAAAGTGCATGTACTTTATCCTCAAAAGAAAACTGACAGCTCTCAAAGTTGTAGCTATAGTTTTATTTTCTGAAAAGTTAAATTTTATTCTGTATCTAAGCCACAGAATAAAGAATGTACATTTTTCACACTTAAATTTTCATTAATGCTTCTAGCAGTGTTACGAAAGAGGTCAGTTGTTGAACAGGCTTAAACTTTCATGGTCGTCCGATTATCAGGATATATTTTGCTTAACAGTTTCTTCTTGCATATGTTGTTATTTGTAACTGTAAATGAAGGAAGTATGCATTATATATCATAAACATGCAATACATATTTTGCATATGGATTTGTAGATGCATCAGTTCTATGAATTTTGCAATGATAACCACATGATTTTGGGGATATTGTACTTTGGCAGTATAATTGTTACAATTGATCAGAGCAAATAAGAAAGAGAAGTACTACTTTAATACACTTGTTTGGGGCATAGTTTCTGATTACTGTAGAAAATGAAGATGTCTGCCACCCCGCCTAGTGTGAACCTAGCAAGAAACACACTTTGTAGAAGAACTAGATTGTGGTGTTCTATATTTTCCTTAATATTTGATGATACTTAGTTTTAGTTAAGGACAATTTCTTTACCAAGGTATTCCTTGCTAAAAATTCCTTCTCTTTTACACTGCTTAAATAAAAAAAAAAAAAAAAGTTTGCTTCAGAAGTAAATGAAGTAGATAAGTTTAAGTGTGGCATCTTTAGAAGTGTGGTAGAGTAGGGGAGAGGAGGCTAAACACCAGTGTTCAGGTCCACTTCTGCACTTATCAAGGATGAAAAATTTGGCATAATTTGTCTTTGAAGACACTTTGTATGATGAGTTTCACCAAAGTAGTGGCATGTAGTTGTATCTGAGCTAGTAGTCTTAGAAGTTCACAGAATGTAGGGATGCTGTTTGGCATGTGCTGCTCGAGCAGGTAAAGCAGCCTTTGTCTGCCTGTACCCTGTATTCCTGGCCTGGAGTGTGGGCACAGCCTCACCTTCTGTGCTGTCTCTGGCTGCACTCTTGAAACCCCCTCCTTCATCCATCTGGATCCCTAGAGAGCAGAATTGTCTTGACCTTTCTTACCTCTTGCACCAAGGAAGTGATACTTGTTTATGGTCACGTTCATGTTAGGAATTGCATTTATAGGTCTGCAAGTTAAAGCTAGATGTGGAGTTTAGAAATTTTTTATCAACAGACTGTCATCATTCTACCAGCACTGTCTGTGTGTTTTGGTATGTTTATGGGGGATGGCCTGACACTACTAGATGGCTCCTTGTTGTAGTTGCCTTGAGACAGTACAAACTTAGCCATTATCAGTGTCAAAATAATGAGAGACATTGATAGAAAAAGAGTACAAAGTGCAGTGTCAGAAATTACTCTTCCATGTTGGCATTCAGGTCTACCAGCAGAAGTAAAAAGAGACTTAGTCCAACTGTTTTCTTGGTGACCCTCTGAAGTTCTCAAACAGTTAAAAGTAGAAAACTGACAGCCAGTTCCTGTTGAGTTGAACTCTAAAAATTAACAATGACAAATAATCAGTAACTCCCAAGGAAGGTGGGGTTTTTTTCACAAAGTAGCATAGCATATATTTGTCCTTAATTTCTGTCACAGTATTTTCAGTGTTTTCATCTTCAGCAATAAATAAGGTTACTACTTTGAAAAGTAAACTGGATAAACTCAGAGGGGAGGTTCAAGGAAAAAAAAATATCAACTAATGGCACACCCCAAGACTGCATCATTTCAGCAACTTATCAGTAAATGAAGGTGTTTTCTCTAAAGTTCATGTATTTTTAAGCACCTTATACAGACAAGAGGCTAAGCAGAAAAAAAAAATTTTTGTTTGTGGGACCTTTTCAGAATGAATTCTGTAAATTTTGAGTTCACTGAGGGTGACCTTTATTAAGCAGATGGTTTATTAACTTGCTGAAGGTTAAGGACGTTCCCAGGTCCTCCTGCCATAGGTCAGTCATTGAGCAAACAAGTGTTCAGTGTTGATTCTGGTTTGCTTTCATACTCATGTGAAAATGAAGCCCTATCTTTTGTATCCAGGTCTTCTTAATATCATGACAAATATATCAGTCTGTACCTCCTGGAGTAGTGTTTTAAAGGGATTTGTTTTCAATTGAAGTTACCTCAGTAGAAAGGCAGGTTGAGTGAGCAGGAGTATTATGGGAAATGTGTTAGTATATGATAAAGATACTGGGATCACTGTTTTAGAGTCTCACTGTGTTGTGTGTATTAGAAACTCAGAATAAAATGTTAGTGTAATATTTATCTTGTTAGTTGTCTACACTTTTGCAATTTATTTGATTTCCAGACAAGGTTTTCATGGAACTGAGACTACCTTGTGCAGTTCAGAGGTAGTGAAATGATGAGATTACTGCAGATCACTCCTATGTATGTGCCTTTTCATAGAGCACAGCCTTTTTAAGGTCTTGACCTCAGATATTGAGTAAAACATTGTAAATTTGTGATGCAGGGAGCACAGTTTATTTGTTAGCCTATCTGCTAACCACTGAAAGTTCAAATGTTGCTACCAGTTCAGAAATGTTACTGAATGTTAATTGCTGTGGCAAACTCCATGTCCGGTTTTTAACATGGGTGCAATCTGGAGACCTTCACAAGCATACTACTCTAGTTAATCTCTGGATCATTTTCATGATCTTCCATGAATAGTGGATCCAGCACTGCTGAGGGGGCCACAAGGCCATTACTTGCATGCCCTTGTGTGACTTTTCCTGTATAACCTTAGTGATGAGACAATTTTGATTCTTTCTCTGAAAGGCAATGAATGAAGCAGATCTTCAGCTTTGTTTCTGAGAGAAAATAGGAAATGTATATCAATGTGGACTGAAAGAAGATAAAGAATAACAATAATGTCAGAGCTTTGAACCCTGTCCTGAACAGATGACTGAAAATTACTCTGGACTTTATATGAGCCAAGAAGAGAAAACAACCCTAAACAAGAGCAGCCCTGTGAAGCCCATACTGTGTTGACAAGAAGTTCATCAGAGACTGTAGGCTGGAATTTTAAGTGAAGAAAATTGAAATTATCTCAGTCCTTGCAGAACTGGTTTACCATATCTCCCTGTTATCTTAAGCAAGCTTGTTAATTTCTCTGTTGGAAATTTTTCCCTTCTTCAGCCTAATTTGAATTTCTTGTTCTTTTATTCTAAGGTTCTGCCCTGCCCCCTTCTGTGCTGTCTTGCATTTCATAGATGAATTCTCCCTTCATTAGGATGGTGAAGTGGCACAGGTCATTCTTGGTAGATCTAGACTTAAGGTGTAGACCAGGATGATCAAATGTGATATTATTTAGAAAGCCTGTTTTAGCTACACGTGAGTCCAAGCAGATGGAAGAGAACTATTTCGATACTGAGGGCACAAATCTAATGTTTGGAAAGCCTGGATTTCAGATGCCTCTTTCATTGCTGATGATTTGTGCAGTTTTGGGCAAGTCCTCTGCAGCCAAATCCACAAAATACCACCATCACTTTAAGTGATGTGTCAAGATACGGAGAGTGGTCACTGAGGTTTTCATCAAAAGAATCTTTTTCGTGGTCTTCCAGGAAGCACACCACTGCCTTACCTTCTTTTGTCAGTTTCAAGTGACAACATCATCCAGAAAAAACCCTGGTACCCAGAGACCATATAGCTACCTGAGTGCAGAGGGGAAAGCGCTGGTCAGTAAATCCCCCTCCTGCTACCACAGCCACAGGAGCCAGCTGGGCAGCTTGGCTGCTGGGGTCCGTCTCTCTCAGCGTGTTTCTCCGTGTCTTCACATGCACAGCTTGTGTGCCTGTAACTTTGCCTTTTGCATTCCCCAGCCACCCATGATGAAAGCTACTCTTTACTCAAGTACCTTTGGTGCTCTTGCTCTGAACCTTTGTCCCTCAGTTTCCTGTCAGTGGAATGAGGTTAACAGGAGAACCCCAGCAGAGGATAAGCTGTGGATGGCCACATTTGAGTTTGTAGAGTGCTCGAGCAGTACAATGCTGAGTGCACTCCAGTACCATCACAATGTCAAAGTGTCTCACGATCTTGAATGTACTTAAGAATAAAGCATGAGAGCAAAACAAAATACTTTTGACTTCTTACTGAGTCCGACCCATGATATCGGTTCCAGAATCCCGCAGGCCAGCTGAGTCCTAGTCTCAGACCAGATCACCTCAGAGCATACCTATCAGTAGTTCTGTCTCAAGGGAGGGTCATCTCAAGAAATGATGGGCACCAAGTTACTCCTGGGAAGATTCTGGTTGGGCACAAGAAGTTTTTTTATAAGGAGGACAGCAGCCATTGGAATAACCTCCCCAGAGAAATGGTGGGTTCTCCAGTTTTGGACGCTAAGGTTCAGCTGCACAGCGTACTAGCCCATTGTAGATACTGCTTTTACCAAGAAAGGTTGGACTAGATGGTCCTTGCAATCCCTTTCAACCTGGTATTCTATGATTGTGTTTATAACAATCTGAGTCCCACAGGCTCACTGGGGATGGATGGAGCTGCATTCCCATTTTTCACAGTTGGCAAGTCCAAGGAGAGGCAAAGGGACAGAGATGCAGTTGCAGGAAACAGCGCTGCTTTGTCTCTTCACCAGTGAAATGCAGAAGTGGGGAACACTGGCAGCACTTGAGACCTGGGAGGACAAGAAAAAAATGGGATTATATTGAAAACCTGGTTGGCAGGAGTGAGATCTGCTCTGCAATCATGCGAGGTTCACGTTGTTCAGCATAACATACAATTTTTGAAAGTGAAATGCCTTAAAATAATTAAGTCTGAAGCAAGAACAACAGCTTCAGGCCTGTAGTTGTGAATAGTTACACTCAGGATGGAAATTTTTCAGTGAGCTTTCAATTTGCTTTGGAAGGAGAGAGATAGATGCCATTTTTGAGAGACAGCTTTGGGTTTCTCAAGAAAGAACCAGGGTTAGCTGGCAGATATAAATCAAAATCACTTCATCAGCTACATCACTAACCTCAGCAAAATCCAACATTAACCAGTTTATCCCTGGTCACAGTCAACCACAAGACAGCTAGCAACCAAAGACTTTTGGCCAACAGCAGTGCAGTGGAAGGTGGAGAATTTACCTCCTCAGTCAAGACTCTTCCAAAATTTCATCTTGGTGAAGTAAACAACTGTGCTTTAGTAGTTGTCATGTGCCTCACAATGATAATAATAAGTTATATTTATGAAGTAGGACTTTCACCTGCTGCGGATTTGTCTTCAGACTTCCCTGTGTGAAGGAACCTTGAAATGAATTATTTCCACTCTGGCAAGCACCTGGTTTAAAATAAAGGTGAAGTCAATGAATGAAATAGTCAAAACACCTGACTCCTTTTAAGAGGGAGGGAAGCAGTAAATAATGTTGCCTTAGAGCAACTTCTCCCTTGTCATGCCTTTCCTCTTGCAGTTTGCTGTCACTACTCACTGTGAGCCAGACTGCACATGGAAGAATCCTTCAGACGAGTCAGTGGGGCTGCTCATGTGAGTAATTTGCAAAGCACTCAATCAGGGCAGTCAAGCCCTGTGCTATTAGACTCATTTTGGCTATAAATCCCCCAAGCAAGGACTTTTTATTCTTGTCTGTAAAACAGTGGTGAAATTCTGGTGCAGTGCTTTTTTTATTTTTTTTTTCCTCCCCACAACTTCTCATTTTTTCTCACCTTTTTCTTCACACACACAGAGAGCACTAAGAGACTCAGAGAAGCAGCAGCTTTGACAAGCAATGCTAACATGCCTCCCTGCTCTGAGCAATTCCTTTGGGCGATTTAGCAATGTCACTCTGGCTCTCAGCATTTCTTTCAAGTCAGGAGCCTCACTGCCTACAACAGCTTGGGAAAGGGAGAGCCCAGGTGCAAAGGCAGGAAAAAAGTTCTGTCAGAGGCTGGCAGCAACAGGAGAGTCCGGTTGTGCCGGTGAGTCACAAGCAGCTCGCTCCACTTGCTTATTCCAGCCACATACAGGCAAGTGCAGGCAGGGAAAATTCCTAGCTTTGATTATGAGGAAAGGGCCTGCTTATGCCACCACAATAAACTCTGTTTTCCCAGAATGAAATCTCACCAGGTGTAATTGCCAAGATCCTGGGACGAAATACGTCTGCTTAACCCCTGACACATCTTGTTCTTTTCACTGGGAGAAAAGTAGTCATTTATGGTTTGGTGTTTTGTTGTGTTTTTTTTTGTTTTTTTTTTTTTTTTGTTTTGTTTTTTTTTAATTCAATTACCAGCTTTGATGTGTCTAAAATGGGAACAATGGCAGAGAATACAATATCTCCTGTCTGCACTGCTACCTATATACTTGCATATAAATAGCACTTTTGTTTTATGGGTTGGAGTAGAGGCTGCAGACATACTGACAGTGCAGCAGCTCTTTTCCTTTGTAGTGGATCTAATAGGCCTTCAGTATGAAACACACTACTTATGCTTTGCTTTTAGGCTGAAACTCACTAGTGCAGAGGTCTAGCAGAGGGCAGAGGCCCCACTTAAATCCTGCTGAGCCTTCAGAAAGGCTTTCCACGTTCCCCTACGGTAGGAATAAGGATTCAGACAGTTTTGCATCCTTTCCAAGGGTAAAGGCATGTAAATAATACCTTTATGACTCAGGTATGTCTTGAAATATGCAACCTGATGGCAGAGAGTTGTGCTTTATTGTGCAGATATTTGTTCTGAACCACATGGCTTGTAAGTCATGAAATATTAATGGCCATGCAAATCTTCTCTTCTGTATCACAAGCTTTTCTGTGTTCCTGACCCCTGGCTTCCTTTAATCATCTCCTGGGTGTGTGGTCTGTTACTATTCTGAGATATCTTGTGAACAGGGGCAAAGTAATTACTTGATCCTTGCCTGCTGCAAGAATCTTTTTGAAAAGAAAATTGATAACTTCAGAGACACTTCCTCCTTGCATTAAAATCAGCCCCACCTGCTTGCTTCACAGGATTTCTCTTTCAGTGGCCTGAATGCAGACCTGCAGTGTTCAGTACTATTTTCATGACTATAAAAACAGCATTCTTGGGTCTCCTAAGTTGTCACCTGCTCCTCCACAGATTAATTACAATTTTTGGTCAGATGTTTTCTTCCCTTTTCTCTATCTCTCCCTCCTGCTGTTTTTTTTCAGTAGGCATCCTTATAAATACTCTGTTTTATTCTGGCTTGTTACAGGAAGGCCCAATGATCTTTCAATGAGCAGCTGTAGTGCCTGTTATTTATAGGGTTATCTTCACCATCTCCCTAATTGGAGCCTGAATTAATCCCTGAATTTTTTTTTTTTTTTTTGAAGA